GCGCACACACACACACACACAACACACACACGCAGAGAGAGAGAGAGAGAGAGAGAGAGAGAGAGAGAGAGAGAGACCGTAGAGGAAACCCATTTTTTTTCTCTCTCCGTGCGCTCGTCGATGTCCGCTCCCCCTCTCTCCTAGCTTGAATACCTCGGCCGCTGAGACTCGGTGGTTACCTTGTGGGACTCCTCTTGTCGCCCATGCCAGACCAGGGTTTATCTGGAGGTGCTGAGACGAGCAGAAGTCGCGTTATTTCCGATAATTTTAGCAAAGAAGCGATGCGCCCGTGCCGCTCGGCTTCCAGCTGTCGTGGAAACTCCGCTTGGGAACTGTTCACGTGACTCGCCGTGGCCAATCAGAGGCTGGTTTACTTCCCAGGCTGACATTCCTCTTGATGAATTAATGCCGCGTTCAAGTGCCCGCTGGTAAACTGGTAGCTCTCAGTGCTTAGGTTGTTAAATATTCACAATGTTTGGTTTATTGTAATAAACGTGACCCGTCCGCACGTCGTCCTTCACAACCTGCGCACATATAGCTGTATTTCATTCTAATCACACACTATTTCATATATTTGCTCGCCTTCAATTGGGGAAAGATACTGTTACAAACACCATATCATATTGTGTTTTATTTAAATGTCATTGGCACATGTTTGAGTCACTTTGACACACATACAAAGCAGCTTATGCCCATGACTTGGCATACATAAAGCTTAAAATGTAAAAGCGTAAATTAGGAATAATGACGTGCAGTTACATTACATATAATGATTACACGTGTAATTAATGTATCCTTGTACAATCAGTCGTCGTATCAAAGATAAATGTCTCTTTTTTTGCAGCAGTTATCTCTTCATGCAATCTCCTTGTAATTCTCCATACAGCGTTTTTAAGTTTCCGACAGCACGTGAACGCAAGTAGGCTCCCGCTCATCTGTGCTGGGAATCCTCTCATGTCCCTGCTTCTTCTATCGGACTCCGCAGACTGCAGAAAATGCCGCAGCAGTTCAGATCACAGGCGCATATAACATCGGGGAATCCCTACTTTTATTTGCGTGCTTCTGACGCAAGCGAGCATTTAAAAAAAAAAAAAAAACCCACACATCTCCAAGCGAACAATCGTACCGTATTTAACATACTTGTTTACGAATGATGGGGGGCTGTCCCCAAACCTCTTCATTATCCAGGACCACCAGCTTTATTCTCCATCATCTCCCGACGATGGGATTTTTTCACCGCAGGGAAATCCCAACCGCTGCATTACAGCTGTTGCAATAATTAGGATTCACATTACAGTGCAGGTTACTGAACGTGGTTCAGAATGGTTCATCCCAGTTTTGATGATCGTTTAATCTTTATTGGAAGTGTATCAAGTAGAAAAGAGGCAAAGCCCTTTGTTTTATGTTACATTTCAAATGAATAGCTAATTTCATTATTTCATCTTGTGTTTTACCACTTTAATTGAAATTATTGATAAAGTAAATTGAATAAAACTAGATATGTTCGGCATTAGCTATGTTAACTTTCCTATTTCCATTTACTTCAACTGACTAACCAAAGTTAATAACCTTTTCTGTGTTAACACTGGAAAACCCAACACTTAATTTGGTTAATCATTAAGAAACATGGTTTTATTGACTGCAATTGAAAAACACATCACCCTAATAACAATTTATTTCTAGAAACATAAAAAAGGTCTCAGTGCTATGTACAAGAAGGGAAAAAAATCAAATTTCATCAGTGTAAATGGAAGCATGTTTTTAACAACCCCACTATTATACAACATAACTTACAAAGCAATATTTGACAATAACTTTTTTGGCGACGTCCTAACTCTGTTATTAGTCACTGAGCTCCTCCTCGTCACTGAAGTATGCGCTCTTTTTGATCCTTGGTTTCTTAGAGTCCGCGGATGTTGAAGCGTGAGCGCCTTCCTCTTGAGACAAAAGCACCTGCTTCCTCTGTGTCTCCTCTTCCTCCATACGAGCTTGCTGGAGGGACATGAGAGAGAAAAATAATAAAATGTTTTAAATGCAAGACGTTTTTCCATTTCCCATAGCCTTACTTATTCATAAAATGATAAAATGTCCTTGTTCACTTCTTTTTAAAGGAAGTTTAAGCATTTCATTTTTAGTAGAGATGTAGCAGATAATATTGAGATCACAAGGACACACAAATGGGTACAAATCTTCCCTAATATAATTAGTGAACAAGATCTTGAATACACTGTTAAGTTTTCTATATCTGCACACTTACCTGAAAAGCTATGGCTTGGCTCAGACTATCTAAAGTTGGGTCCTCTCCTTCTTCTTCACTTTCCTCTTCTTCTTCACTATAAGAGAAAGAGAAAAAAAAATGAAGGCTTACAAAAATGACACAATTCATATCTCACAATGTCAGCTATTAAATACTTACACTTGTTCAGGTTGTTGAGCCATTTTCTTCTTTTTCTTTTCTTTCTTCTTCGGAGGTTCCCTCTCCCCCAGAATGTTTTTGGGGCATGCATAGCTCAGATGACCCGTATCCTGTGATGTGACGACATTCAAAGGGACAGAAGAAAAAAAAGATTACACTTGCAACTGAATCAAATTTGACAATCTCACAGGACAATAATAACGTTAATATGCACTGACCCCGCATTCGTAACATTTCGACTTGTCTGTGTAGTTTCGTCTCCTTATAAACTCAGTTGCTCGCCCGTTGTCCACGGCAATGCTCGCCTTCACTGTTCTCCCAAACAACTGGAACACAAACACATTTGTAATTTAAGTGACCAGTGAATATCCATTAAAGAAACATCACTGAACAGGACACGGTGACATACAGCACATGGAAACACACTCACCTGTTTGTTGTTCACCGCTCTTGCACAGTTATGAGCTGATTCTCTGTCCAGGAAGAGAACAAAAGCCACCCCTTTACTCTGGCGGGTGTCTTTGTCCTTCACGATCGTAACCCTGAAACAAACATAGCAGTTATTAATACATATTGTATGCATTCAGAGCCTTGAACTGATTGGTTGTGTGGGTCATGTGTTCCTGGACCACTTTGTTTTGTTTACACACAAACATGACACTTACTTTACAACTTTTCCATATTTGGTGAATAGCTGAAACGAGACACAGACAGGGCACTTTGTAACGAAGGTGCTTGGATTCGTAGACCATAGAGTAAATAACAACAACAACACTGAACACAACAAGTGCAGGTGTAGCCCGCCAGTAAACCGAAGGAGAAGAAGTGCAGGGACTAACCCACCTTGTGCAGGTCGTTGTTGGTGAGAGAGAAAGGCAGGTTGGACACATACACAGTGCTCTTGCTTGGTGCCAACCCCCCGCTCATACTGGACGCATGTGAAACACTGTAAATAAAAACAATACGACTTATCGTCTAACGCACGACAGGCTACTTACGCACTCAAACTAGCGAATTCACGTAACGTTACGTTTTAAAGTTACTTCCAAGCGGCCGAGTGACTCACGTGAACCAAAAAACACCCACCCAGACAGTCCCCGTCGTTTGGATAACGGCGAAAGTTGTCGAAATGTGCTTGTTATTTGTTACTTGTGCGTATCTGCAAGCAGTGGGCGAACAAAACAGACGTCTGTAGGTCGCAAATGGATGACGTGGGAGCGACCCTCGTCCAATAAAGCAGCCGATGTGTGTGCGGCTAACAGGAGGCTAGGCTAACGGGACGGGAGAGGAAGGTGAGGTTGTTGTGCTCATTCACGTGGAATAAATGACATTTACTCCGGGTTGTTTAAACACGAGTGCACATGTACGATGGCACACGACGCCTTAAACGTGCGCTGGTTGTTTTGGTGTGTCAGTATCGATTGGTTAGTTTTGCCCCTCGGATAAAAAGATAAAACGTGCGGGTGTTTGCAGCATATATGGAGGCTCGCTAATTAGCAACGCTAGCTGTCCGTTTTACATGAGTCTGGATTCAGGGTTTAGTAGTGAAATACACCGTCGGGATAAATGTTGGAATGGTTTTTGAGTTATAGGTTTAGTGCTATGGCGCTAGTGCTGTGTTGGGTATGGTTTTTGCTTGTTCAGTGGTCTGTTCTGCAGAGAGAAACCTCAGCCGGCTCAGCTGTTGGATCATATCTGTCATGGTCAAGCAGTGTTTCCTGGCTTATCTTATTTCATACTCTACTGCACTTAAATAGAGCTCTTTTTATGTTGCACATGACTGAGAAAAGATACGTCTGGTTTTTATTTCTTTGATGGGCTTGGTTATAAGGGTGTGTGAAGCCTTAACACTGTTTTTCATCGTTCTTTTTTTTACAGATTGTGTTGGAAGATCTTACTTTCTCAATATCACCCCGATTCACAGAGGTCCTTGAATTCAAAAGTAAGTTGGCGACTGGCACTTTTCTTTGCAGTACACTCATTTAATGGCAAACAAGAGAAATGCCACTACTGCTCCACTTCATGTCACAAAATCTCTCAAGAATTTGGGCAATATTTTGTACTTTTGCAAGAGCGACCACTGTGTTGCAGTCTAAACTCGAAAAAAGACACTGCCGATGAATACAGAATCTCGTTTTCATGATTTATTTTGTGGAGCCGCCCTCGCATGATTACATGTACAGCGCGTACAGTATCTTTAACTCTTTACCTCTCTTCTGCAGTGACGTACAGGAGAGACAGGAGTATACGAGAGGTGTATGATGAACGCTTTTTACCAGAGAGACCGGTGAGTGTGTACAAAGTGACTTCACTGTCTGTTTCTTTCACCTTGTTGTATCACATTCAAAACTATACTCCTACAAACACAAATAGGAGGGCTTATTTGTTTTTTTTCTAGGCTGCCAGTATTTATCATTTGGTGAAGAAGGGCCAAAATATGTTAAACCGCTAGAATAGTAATTTATTTTTCATATTTCTGTTTTTTTACAGTGATCTATTAAACAGTGTAAAGGGTAGGGCCCGTGTTCTCCGTCAGAAGTTATCTCCATATGTAAACGATATTGCTTCTACTTTAGACATTTATTTCTACATCAGGTGAAGTCGTCTTTAGCCAATATGTTGCCATGAGACGTTTCAGCAGACAGGCCTATTTAAGCAGAAATGAACAAAATAAAAATCATGAAATGTATCCATCCTGTTAGGGTCCGTATCCACGGGCAGCTGGAGCAGTGGAGAGGAGGGGTCCTTTCGGCAGGCCAGAGGACGACTACAACCGCGGTGGGTACGAATATGAAGGAGGTCCGCGCTTTTTCCCAAATGGAGGAGGCCCACGAAGTTACCATGAAGATCAAAGGGGCTACCACGGTGATAGCCTTCATTTCCCTGCTGAACGCAGAGCTGGCCCACCTTCAAGGAGGGTGAGGGCATAAATATCGTACAAAACATTGTTGTAGAGTTTATTGTGTACATATGGGAAACAAGAATTACATAAAATGTATAGAGGGTAAACATTTGTGAAGAGGAGATCGATCAAAAATTGATTGGGAACTTCCAAAGACTGCCTCAACTCTGAAGAGAAAGCCACAAACAGAAAATAAACTCCTCGTCTAACAAACAAAATGAGAATGAAATGAAAGCGATAAAAGCACATCCAAATGCAAATTCTTTCTAATCTACCTAATATACATAAGTATTTTGACTGGCCGTACATATCATTATACTCCGTTTTGATTTATTAAGAAAGCTTAAGGCAAGTGAATAAGATGTCTGTACACATAGGCCATTTTGCACAGCTGCCGGCATTACATCTGCATATTATGTTAATACTGTTGGTTTGATATGCACGCTCATAACCAGCTGTTGAACATTCAAGTTTAAAGAGTTTCAAACCACACAGTGTGTGCTACACTTTAAACATTTATTATGGTAGACATATGAATTTCTTGCTTCTTAGACTTTAACTTTCCATTTTGGGGGGTTTTGTTGCCATTGTCCTATTATTGCGGTAGTTTTTTGTACATGGATTTATCTTTAGGTTTAACATCTTTATTTTAAGACAGTCAAATTTTATGAAGAAAAAATGCCAGAAAAGTTCACTTTAATGGATTTTATCCTTTTTGCAATTTGTTGCGTAGGAGGACTATCCTTACAGAGTACCCAGGGAAGAACCACACACAGGGCGGCCTTTGGAGTTTGGGTAAGGTGCTTCTGTTTGTTTTGTCCGATTGGATGTTATCATTATGGACAGTAGGGGGCAGTCTTCTTCCATGCGCTTGTTTTGTGAACAAGTCCTCTGTGTTTAATTCCTCTGGTCAGGCCAGTGGGAGGGATTTCTGCAGGAGTAGGCCCCCGTTTTCAGTACCTGTTTGAGATGTTAGTTTACATAGCAGCAATCATAAATCATGGTCTGTTCTGACCCACATTGGCCTGTCTCACCCTGTTCACATTTTTTGCGGTCACAGAGCTCACCTCACTCCACACTTTTATAGCTTGGACGACTCTTCAGTTTAACTACAGCTCTTAGCGCAACAAGCTGCAGATTTGGTAGCAAAAATTAAGCCTACAGATTTTGCTTGACAGATTTATAATATTCACTCAAAATCCTTCGCTCTGGTCCCTCTCAGTCGTTTTGGTTAATGTATTTTTTAGTTTGTTAATGGCCAAAGCCAAAGCAATCTGACCACATGTGACATTTAACAAATGCAGTCATTATTTGACTTGGTTTTAATGGTGGCCATCTAAGAATGACAGCTTTATACTTTATTATACAGTGTTATATAAATATTAGAACATATTGTTACATATATTAACGGGGAAAACTGCCGACAACTGGTGGAAAAAAGCCTTAGCTAAACTAAGGGGTTTTTCCCTCAATGTGGATGTTGCCCTTTTTTACAATTTCATGTGATTTGTCTTCCATGTTTTTGTAGAACGGCTTCATTTTTTACATTCTAATGTCTTTGAAAGTTAAAATTACATATTTCATAAAATATTGCATATGGTTTTATTTAAATATAGGTGTGCTGGAGTATAGTAAAACTCTAAAAGTGGTGCATTTGCATGGTGGGAACACATTTATTAGGTTTTTAGGTCGCACCTGCACTGTTTGTTGGTGCCAAAATGAATGATGTATTGAGTTAATATTTGACGGTTGATTTAAGTTCACTTAGCTGGATAAAACAACAAAGAGGTGAACTAAGATGTAACAATTTAGCATGACGTTAGATGCTCTGCTGTCTTTGTTGTTCAATTTAATGTGAAAACCTAAATCTCTTCAACAGAGGGGGAAATCTTAACACTGCACTGAAATTATGTCATACAAATGATAGTGACTAAATTCATGACAGACAGGGAAGCAAGGCTTTTACTCCAAACTAATATTTTGAGTTGTGAAAGGCCACCCAGGTCAGTTCAGGCCTGCCGATTGGTGTGTTTGGCATGGGTGGAAGAGGTCAGTTGGGAGGTGGTGTGGAGTTAGGAAAAAGGGCACAGATATACTGTGTGCCAGAAGGTACAGGGGGTAAAGGGTGTGGTAAAATGTCTGTAAAGTGTAGACAAGAATGTGCACAATTCACAAGTCATACTGCTTATTTTCCTATTTAATAAGATTGAGGCAACCCATACCCTGAATACCTAATCCTGGCAGAGCAGGTATTTTAAGATAGTTTGAATAAAGTTAAATACAAATGGACCAAATGGTGCTTGTTCCCATGTTGTACAGTATGTACCTGCAATAGAACATTCATTTGTGTGTTTTCACTCCCCTCAGCGCTCGTGCACCGCCTCCTCATAGTGTGCGAAGCCAGGGAATCTACCCAGCGGCCAGATCACTCCCAGAGAGCGGGGAGGATTCACTAGTGCAAGCCATCCTCAACCTGGACAGAGGGTACGAGTGAATGCATACTTCATCATTGCATAGGGCATTCATGTGCCATATTCAAGTGTGTACAACTTATTCAGTGCAGCCATCAGGAAGAGTGTAATTAGTGTGTTTGACTAGAACAATAATGTCCATATGTTTAGGCCTCACTGATGCATTCTTTTTCTAAGCCTACATGAGAGGGGAAACAGAGACACACACACACACACACACACACCTTGAGTTTAACGGATTTAATTACACATTTAAGATGGGCGGTGCAGTTTTGATTCTGTTTTTGTGTAATAATTTCATTGTTTTCTGTTTAATTCTCCATCTTTTCAATTTTCCCTGTTTAGTCTTCTTGTTTTTTTGTCTTCCCTCTCTCATGCGCCACATCTCAAATTATTATTATGGAGTATCACTGTGAGTTTTTACATCAAGTATTCACAGTTGTGTGTTTGTTCTGTACAGTGACCCTCTTAATGCTAGATGGCAGCATTGTGCCATATTGGCACAAAAAAAGGAAAAGGGAGAAGTACTTGTGTTTCAGATTTTCTGAAACAAGATAGTTTTGTCAGATGAGGGAGAGAAGCTAAGTTGTTATCCACGTTTGGACTATTACAACCTTGACAGCCCACACATTCTCCTTTGGTCTTCCAGGGAGGACAGAGACCACTACAGGAGAAAGGCGGCTCCGTTCCCTCCACTTAGAGAGCGCTCTCCTGTGCGCCGCGAGGTGGCCCGCTCCCCCCACAGTCGCTCCGGCTCCAGCGTCAGCAGCAGAGGCTACTCACCAGACAGAGCCAAGAACCTGCCATTTCCCTCACAGCAAGGCAAGAGTATGTAGAACTTGGAGTTTCCCCTCCCCCTGATGCAGCGTGGAGCTCTTTTTAAAACCGCTTTGTGTCCATCCAGGCACAGGTGGAATTGAATACTATGAATACTAAGATTTGGAGTTGGAGTTGGCACCTCCTCAAATGTCCAGGTTGATTATATTGCAGTATAGGCTGATAGAACCTGCTCATATACAACTGGCAATACTACCAAAGTTTATATATATATACTATAATATAATATAATATATATTATAGCAATTTTAGTCAAGACTCATTCATTGCCTATAATTCATGATAAGGACATGCACTCAGTGAATGAATCATCAGTTGAAAGGCAGCACAAAAATTAACAAGGCTATTTGAAAAAAAGATCAGTTAGGCCTCAGTTTAAGACAATCGCCCCCCAAGATGACTGTTAAGACCTCTTCATTTTCCTCTATTACCTTACTGTCTGATAATCTGGCTGACTGGCTTTTCAGGTGTGGACGGTCCAGAGGGTCTCGCAGGTGTTTCTGAGCACCTCTGGGGGGCGCTCTTTCCTCAAACCAGTGGACATGACATTTTGGGTCTGTACATTGAGCCATGTGAACAAGCTTGTACTTGGGTGACAATAGTCTGATTTATTGTTCCTCACACGTCTCCTTGCATCCTTGTCACGTCAGAAAAAAAAAAGTTGGAGGGAAATGTTGTGGCTCTCTGCTCCAAGAAGGATGCCTCTAAGTCAGGAGAAGGATGCAAGGATGGAGGATGGAGGACATAATTAAAGGCCTGGAGAATATACCTACAGAATATGACACATATACAATAAATACATACAATCAGAATAATAAACCCTAAAGAATTGCAACCACAAGTTTTTTTTTTTTTTTTCTTTAAAATCCTGTCACCTAGGTCTCAGGTACTGCAAGTTGCATCATGACTAAAATCCTGTCACCTAGGTGTCAGGTACTGTAAGTTGCATCATGAATTTTGTTTCTAAGTTAGTAACTTGTGGTGACTTTTCTGTAATGAATACATATGTTTTACTGTCTGTTGTGGAGGTACGTTAGCACTTTCTATGGTTCCTACTACCAAATAAGAAAGATACACGTAGGTTGTCCCAAAGAATTCTCAATTCAGATGTGATTCTGTGTGCATCACACTGAATAAAAACTACTTTTTAATATTTAAATAACTATTTCGAATAAGATTACACGTAGAAATAGTCTTTATCAAAACTGTGTCTATGTACTTGGATGCAGGTCTTTCAACATAGCTAAATTGCTAACTAGCTATTTGAATGCCTGTTAGTAAGATCAGTAAAAAACATTAATAGGTATCGGACACTGGACATGTAATGTGCGGGTTTACAAAACTAATTTCCAAGCATTCTACCGATAAATCCTGAATAAAGTGGACTGTAAAAAGTGCTAAAGTATCTCTTTGTTTACTGCATGTTGTTTGTAGATCTCAACCTCCCAAGCTCCAAGTTTCCACAAGTAGCACCGTGTTATTTAGGTCTGCTACCATCTTTGGTGCTGGCTATCTCTCCTTTTTTACATAAAGTGGACCTTAGAATGGCAAGTGGTTATCATGCTAAATAATATTGCTATATAAAACGTTTAAAATGCATGATTGGAACCTCTTGAAAGCAGAACATAACATCTTTAATCATACTTTTGGTGAAGCATCAGGGCAGTGAGTGTGTTTGCCAGATTGCTGTAAGATAAGAAGGCCTAGTTATTACACAGCCAGTGACCTTACGGTTTGGTCTTTCTGCAGGGTATGAAGAGACTTATTCTCAGATCAAGATGGCCGGTAAGTACAGTTCAGTATAGTTGGTGTAGACAGGACAGATAAGTTGTATCAAATGCGGTTCGGCAGTGGTTTTCTACTTTTTAAATGTAAAATTTAAGCACTGCTCCTTGTACCATTTCTTTCAATTGAGTTTTTTTTATTTTTTATATTTCAATACAGATTATTGAAAGCAAAATAAGATGACAAGCAGAGGATTTGTTTCGGAAATATACAAAGGTTACAATCGTTAAACTTAACCTACTCCCAGCCTGGGTAACCTGAGAGAGACAGAGAGCGTTTCTAATGTGTCCAGCAGCCAGCCGTCCTCCCCTCTCTGTCTGCCACTTTATCAGGTCTCATAAAAATGCCACCAGGTCGTGTGTGGATGAACAGGGTAAGGGTATAGGATGTCTGATGGATATTCCTGAAGCTAAAGCTTCAATATCGGACTGTTTTTGTTTCATAGCGAGGTCCTCAGAGTTCATGTTTGCTGGCGGACTCGGTCGGTCGGTCGGCTCTAAAGCCTCGGATGCTTGGTGGTAGAACAAATGGAAAGTGAAGGGAGGAGGCGGTGTCCAATTGATGAGTGGGAATGTACAAGAGAGAAATGTACGTTGCAGTGAATCCACCCACTGGACTTCGGAGCACAATCGTGAACCATCTGTTTCTTGATTGTTCCAGATGTTCTAGCCTAGGTACCTGCCTGGATCCTGGAACCAAACATCAACACCTTTTACTGTGCCCTGATTACCATAAACACATACTTACCAACTTTCCAGACATACAAATTGTCTTCCCCCCCCCCAATTTTAATTTCTGCTTTCTGCTGTTTTTCTCCTTCTCTAGTTTATCATTTTCTTTTTCCAAATCATGTTATTTTGCCCATCACTCAAGTCTCACTGTCAAACTTTTTCCCCCCCTTTCTTATTTCTTCAGACAAAATCCCTGGTCTGTCAAGAGAAGGCTCCCCACACAGCGCAACCTCAAACAAGGTGAGCTCAACTAGATGAGTTTTTTTGTGCTCACATTTTATTTGAAGTTTACTTCTACAAACAAGAACAAAACGTAAGCCGTTGCTTCTTTTCATAAACATAAGCGTTTTGTATTAAAGTTCTGTAACATTCAGTCTTAGATGTACAATGTATCGTATATTGTCGACTCCGCCTTTGTCACTTTACAGCAGGATGCATCTGGAACTTCTTAAATTCTATCCTTCTAATAAGTGTTTAGTCCCATTGAAGTATGTTAATGGGTTTTAAAGTGGCCCTCACGCAGAGCATGAAAGCCATCAGGCCTGTGCTTTGTTTACCTGTGTTGTAAGCAGACTTCAATCACAAGAACTTATAATGGTGTAGGGAAAAGGGCTCAAGTGTCGAAGAAAGTACGAGCCATCCTTCCTTAAAGTGCTCTTGTTTTTAAAAAAAGAGAAAAAAAAAGTTTTAACTGTTTTGAGTATTGAATGTAAATCTCTCCTGCCTGTTTTGCAAATAATAGCCTGTTTTGCTGATATCATCCATCTCCAACTACGCAGAGGAGTGTAAATACAATCAGATGTGATTAGGCGAAATGTGTCTGGCTGTGGCCACCCAGAAGTGAAGAGGCTAACTCAGTAGCCCAAGTCATAGCTTTTATCATAGGATCTTAGCTGCAAAGCCAGGAGAAGTCCCTGTGGAACTCATTGGGATGTGTTTAGACCTTTTACAATGAACAATCATTTCCTTTCTCTGCCGAAGAGTATGACTGACTGTGTTTGGGGCCTGTGACTGTCCTAACAGATGTTGTAGGTCAGTGGTCTTGTGCTCGTGAGAAATTGATGTATAACTTGGGTTCATAGGTCATCAAAGCTTCTCCTGTGACCCCTGTCTTGTGCCACATTCACATCATATAGACTGGTGATGTGATGGTAGAGAAATCATGTGATTTTAAGCTACCTTTTTTTTTTTAAAAATCTATTAAATTGTTAAATAATTTGTTGAACTTCGTATAAATTTGAATAATTGACACCCAGCAGAGCAGGGTTGCATTGAGCCTTTGAATTAGGGAATTTAAAATAATCCCTTTCATGGAGTACAAATGAAACAAGCAGCATCTACAGTGTGCATTATCTGCATGCTTGTAAGTGTTATCAGATTCTATGGCTATTGTTTTTGGTGGGAAAATACAAGCTTTGTTTTTTTTTTTTTTTAAGCTTAAAAGAATAAAAATAAGGCACACATTTTGCTGGCTAGTCTGTAAACTTTAACCCCTTTTTTCCCACCACACTGCTTTAGTAGTTACTCTTGGTTTTATTTTAGACAAACAGACAAACAAGATTCTCATGATGTGCAAAACTTCACTTTGAAATAACCCATAAAGACTATCTCTTAAATGCTGCTTTAATGTTAAACCAGTCTTCTGCATCTCATTAGCAGCCCTTTAGATCTTTTTCTGAACATGCCAGAGGTCATTTGTATGTTGCCAATTTGTTATATTTTTACTGGATTGTCCCTTTGACTGGCATGGTGGGCACTTCAATATCTTTGCAAACCCATTCATTGCTTTATATGTCAGAAATTATAACACAAACAGTCCTTTCCTCTCTCTTCTTATGTGCATTTTTGGAAGAACCACCCGCCACCACCCAATCAACTGCTGTGATGAAAGTTTTACTAAGTGCCCCACCCCTCCACACACACACACACACACACACTGCTGCTTTTTGCTGTGTTTGATCTAGCCTGTGGTGCATTGTTTTTTTCTGTTCTGGGGGCACAAACCCGTAACCTTGGCCAAGATGAAAGGCCTGTGCTGTGCCCCCAGTAAAGCTTGCACTTATGGCCCCGGCCACTGCCTGCTGTGGGGCTTCAACAAACACACACGCAGGCTTTCTGGAGCCATCCCAGACAGAAAAGACCAAAGAGAGGACCTAAAGAGCAGCTCTGCTTCTGGCTATGAGCCATGGTGGGTGGGAAAGCATGTCCTGTAACTGAAAAGGTCACTAGAAGGTTTCGTCCCTAACACAAGTTGAGTTCCTGTCAATTAAAGTATGATAACATTTTACCAATCAAGATAATTGCTGAGATCTGGTGGTGAGGACAGGGCATCGCAACCTATGAGATCAGAGGATCACACAAGTTCTAAACCTGTTGTAATGCTGTGCTAGCGGTGTGGCTCAGTCAGTCTGCTGTTATTTATTAATGGTTCCCAGACAATGCATCAAAAAAAGATTTTGATGATTTGGTTCAGAGATTCATGTTTCCCACAGGATGAATTGTAAAACTTTGGTAATCCCTTAATGTTTCCTCCAAGGCCATCATCAATTTCACTTGGACCAAACACTAATGACATTTGCTTTTAGTGCCAATTGGCATGCTAACACAATAAACTAAGATGGAGAATGTGTTAAACATTATACCTGCTAAACATCAGCATAGTAGGGTGTGTGACCCTAAAGGTTTTACATAAGCCCAATGTGAAATACACCACCAAATCATTTGTTAAAAAAAAAAAAAACGTAATTAGGAATCTACAGCAGTCTTAACTTTAAAGGTCAGTTCATGGTTCACTGGACGAAAAAGGCTTTTTAGCAGCAGAAAAATAAAGAGGAAAAAATACTAAAGGTATAATAAACTAGTGTTGAATTCATTTTTAGTATTACATTGAAAAGAGATTACCCATACCTCCCGACTGATGACATTTCATTTTAGCCCAGTTTGCATAAAATATATCTGCCAAGCTTGGTATTGATGGTGCAATATCCTTTCCAGGTTGGGCTGTGCCCAGCAAGTTGAAGTGAAAGACTCAGACAGGGTTTTTTTTTTTTTTTCTTTTTTTCACCGAGGCTGAAGTCTGACAAATGCAATCTTTGCACAAGCGTACACACTGGACTTCTCCCATGCATAGCTTCAGGGAGGGAATGGGAAGGAAGAATAATTGGATGATGCTTTATGAGTTGTGCTTTTTATTTTAGACCACACTCAGCGTTGTGATGTACCATCTCCTCTAATTACTTTCCTCGGTCATCTAGAGATTTAATATGACTTAGTCCCTGGCCTGTTTCCCTGAATGTATGAGTGGACTTTAGTCATGGCTGGGCAGTTCTGCTCCCTGGCCTTCAAACTCTAATAGTATCAGGAAATGAGCAAAAGAAATTGAGCGCTGATCCAAGTTGGCCTCATTTTCCCCCTTTGCTCTTTCTTCTGGCTTTCACAGTAATACTTAAGGGTACTAGAGTTTCCAGTCTTCCCATTAGATGGCTCATCACGGCTTGTCCAGCCAGATTTTCTATTCTCAAGATGTAAAAACAGCTGAAATGTCAATTTCTACAACTTACATTGAAAAAATATAATGGTGTTAAGCTGTACACATAACTTGTTAAGTAATAAGAAAGGTGTTAATTATGAAGATCCACATCTGATATGCAGCATGTCCCATCTCTTATCTTGGTGCATTAAACCCCTATGACTCCCTAATTCTGACTATTTGTAGATGTAAATAGAAATCCATGGCACCCAACTTCCACACAGTATACTCTGGCTTTTCAGCTGTAGAATCTAATTGAAAAATCCAAAAGGATGAAGCTTAGATATACAGCAAAATTAAACAGTATTTCTTTCTGTGGTCTGATTTTCTGTTTCGTGCATTGCTAGAATTGTGTCATCTTGGTGGTGGTGGTGGTAGTAGTACACTTTTTAAAGCATTTATTAATGCCTTTTATAGTCATCTGTGGTTATCTGCCATACATTTCTTTTTAAAAAGAAGTAAGTAAGATTTCCTTAGAGTAGCAACTCACCCCTTTCTCTCCTACATTTTCTAGGAGGACAGCCATCCTCCAGAAGGAGAAAAAGAGGAGCTGCTGGTGGCTTCCATCGTGGAGGAGAGCCATAAGTCGTCGAATGCGGAGAACTTTCAAGAGCGACGAGCTCTGGCCATCGCAGCCAAAGCTCAGGAGATAGAGAAGGTACTTTCCTAGTTCTGACATCTTAAAACTTACATTTAGCTGAGTTTTTATCTGGATATAGTTTAAAATGTGCCAGCAAGTAGTAGGTCAGTGTGAAAATAACACAGCTATTTAAACTCATGAGCTTTCTGTGATTTATAATCTCTCAACTTAAGGCCGTTGGATACATTTTTCACATGTTGGTAGTTTTAGTACCTCAGCCAACAGGTCTTGTTTTTTTAGATTTGTTTTCACTTGGCTGGTTTGGACAGATGCCATATCTAGAATTCTTTATTGGTATTCCTGTAGCATTTGTAAAGGACAATGCATACAAATGAACATTTTGTGTCAGTAGCTCCCAGTTGCCCCTTCTGGAAAATGACTGCATTTACAGTCTTTTCATTACAAGTTAGTAATTTGTAAGACTTTTCTATAAATGTCAACTTGGTGCATGCTTGACACGTACTGTACCCTTGGTAAATGATCCCATACTTATGGTGGCCTTGACGACTCTGACTCACACATGGATTATTTTACTGGATAGGCATTACTGGAACAGCCACCTATTATGTTCCTAACAAGGCAGGAAATTAACTTTCCTGTCCACCAGTCACAGCAGTCGGTACATCCTAAAATTGACCAATTGCCAGTCACATATCAGTCTCAGAACAGTGTTTAAGTGATGGATAATTATCTGCCAAAGTAGCCGGTTGCCAGATTTTTCAGCATTTTCCTGGTGGCTCTTGTTAATCTCCCAACCTGACTGGCATAACTGCAACAACTGCTCATTATACCCTGCACCAGCTTAATATCCCTCATGGCTCAAACATCACAACTCTCCCGCACTGTTTGACTCATCTTTACAAATACACACGCACACACAGGACTGCACACACAGAGTTTGGAAACACTAGGAAAATGTACGCGGTGCGGGAGCACATAAACAAAGGCAGAAACACAAGTACAACTTAGACATGGCATTGGTTTGTGCGTACAATAAATTGGGAGGCCGGCTACTTAACAGAGCTGAAACCACCCCGGGCTCGGGGTTCCAGCTCCGCTCAGTTATCTAATGAAGGCCATTCCTGCACCAGTGAGCACTACTGCTGCTTTACTGGGACCATTAAACCTGAGCCAGCTCTGCCCTGGAGCACACACTGCGCTCTCTCATATAGCTGCGCCACAGAGCCTATAGGCCGTTGCAACACTATTGCTGATGCTGCAGCTTCTGGCCTGTTTTATATCTCATTTTTTTTCCCCCTTCTGCGTCTCGTCACGTTCATTTGAACTCGACTTTGCAAGCTTTATTTCATATTTTCAAGTATTATGAAAAGTTCTATTTCATACGTCTAATCATGGAAAATGATTAAAAGACCCGTGTCAAGAATAACCTTTAGGTAGTTTAATATGGCCTTATCAATTACGTCGTCTCTCCATTGTCAGTATAACTCATTCTCTTCTGCTATAATCTTCAAATGTAGTCATGAAATTAAGGTCTGGAAAGAGCGTAACAGCTTAAAATGAAAAATGAGAGGGAACAGTGTATTCCAGGGATATGAAGTTTCAGGTCTTCTTTGCCAAGATTTCTGATTCTCAGATTTAGCTTTTTTCCCTCCTCTTGTCCCCTTTCTTTGGCTTTTGTGATATCCAGATCACTTGCATGAAGGTTGCTTGTGACTTGGCGGCCCTCCCTCTGTCTGTCATGAAAGGCTGGCTTGATTACTCATGATTGTAAGTGAAGGCAGCCCCTGTTTGTGTCACACACGAGAGGTCAGAAATAGAAGTTTAGTAATGACATCAAACAATTTTGCCCGCCGTCTTTTCCTTATTCTCTGTACAAGTCTAGGAAAAATGAATGGAAATGGAAAGAACAATCTAAAGTCTGTCTTGTTTGTGGTAAACACTTTAACCCTTAAAAACCTTCAATCACAACATGAGAGAATTGCTTCCACATAATGGTTGGTTACCTGCCAGAGAGGGGAGTTGAAAATGTATAAGCACTTGTCTGGTGGCTGGTATTCATTTCCCATCATGCCCAGAACTCCCAGCTAAACACTCCCCAAGTTAGTTTCTTTTTTCGGTCTAAAACAACAAAGTCACTTTCACATGCGCCCTACGAAGTCGCAGCAGTGTTTCTGTTGCAGTCGGCCCTCGCATTTAGCCACTTGACAAGTGTCGGCCAGATGTTTGGCTTTCTGCACCCAATCTGGTCTAGCCATCTCTTCTACACACAGGGACACAAACACACTCCAGTCCAGTAGCTCCCCTCAAAAAGCTCACCAACTGTCTCTACACTTTTCACAGATCACACGCTGAACTTTCCATCATCGGCCAGACATCGTGCTGGGCAGCGTTATACCAGCGCCGCAGTGTGTGTTTGTGTAGCTAAGTGAAATTGGTCTGCTGAAATTCAACCTGAACCCCGTTGTCATTGTCAAAGTTGACTTTGGCTGCAGTACAGACTAACTGGTTATAGTGAGTGACAAGGCATGAGAGGTTATAAAGGGTATTATGTTTTACCCCTCACAGTCCAAGCTATGATACAAAAGGAGTTTTATTTCATTTGTTGAGGAATCTAAATATATCTGGCTACAAGACACACAGTTCTAGCCTCAGTCCCTTTTTTTTAGGGTACAAAGATGGCAGAACTGGACCGAGGCCCCAACTCTTTCACTCTTCTTTTCTGAAGCCAGGCAGGCCCACACGCTCACTCCTAACCCTGTTTTAACTGGCTATAGAAAATAGCCGTTAAAGAAGTTTTCAGAGGCAGTTCTGGACCGACCCCACCCCAAAGTCGAGAACTGGTCCTTTCCTTCCTGATTGGATAACAAGGGAGGGATTTCAGGAAGCGTGTTTGAATTCAGGAAGTACATTTTCAGCACATTGTTATCTAGGAAACTTTCCCTGTATTCGCATAAGTTGTTGTCAGTGTACTTGATTGGATACTTCCTCCCAAGAAGCTGATAAATAAATATACTGTCATTAGTTATCAACTGTTGAATGAGACTGTAGGGCATTAGAAGATTAAAAGGACAATGTACTGTTGCTAAATTCAGCACAGTAGAGTAAGTTGCTATCATGAGTTTGCTTTTAGAACAGATTTGTTAGTCTGACTGTTGTTGTAACATCTCCCACTTAATAAGTGATTGTACATGGGAAATGTATAGAAGCGCCCAGAGGTGGTGTGTTCAGTCTACGTCAGCGCCCTTTCCTGAAACTGTTTGTATCCTTATGTTCAAGTTTCCTGTGAATTGATTTATCCTATTATTAGATTCAGGTCACCTTAAGAGGGAGAACTGAAAACTCTGAGTGTTGGCTATATTTCAGGAAGGAGGCAACTAAGAAAACATTGAAGTCATTTATTCTGCATTGGATAATTTCCAATACAGAAATATATTTCTGTCCCAAAGAACGACCGTTAAATTTCTGATTTCCCTATTTGCGGATACACTATGTAGCTTTAACAGCTGAAATATTTTTGTTTACTGCAGATTTTGGAAAGTTGCCATCTGTTGTCACAAGTACATTAACTCTGTTTGACAGCAGATCTTTATTTGTGATCTCTCCTCTACACCGACCATGCTCTCTGTTCTAGGAACATTGTGAAAAAGCTATAAATAAGCCAGTGAGTTCGAACGCCCTGCAGCACAGAAGCCACTGTTGGTATCCGGTGAATGACTGAAACTCACCCTTGCCTGGCCTAATTTTACACACATACACTGGCACATGTATAAACACACAGATCAGCACACACAACCCTTGTCATTGGAAGTGCCCTTGTCAGTCTGTGGCACGATGCTCGACTCTCACAGTGAAGGCTTGACTCCCGACTTAATGAGTAGCAGTATTGGTGGATTAATTTGCTTCTACTTAGTCAGGGAAGAGATAAAGGCTAAGACAAAACTAGGCACAGAAAGACTGACTAGAGAGGGAAATGTGAAAGATGGAGAAAAACAGAGGAGAGGGCAGCATCCCTTAGAGAAATTGAGTGTCCCTGGGGTTCTGTCAGTGTCGACTTGGACACTATGATGCCCTGTTTCTCTACAATAATGTCTAATTAGAAAATGGCCTAATGTGATGTTTATTTTTATTTATGTATTTATATATTTTTGGAAGCATTTTATGTCTTTCTAAGCTTGTGGGATCTTTCAGGATCATACAATCCCATGTTTTTTTTAAAAAGCTTTGTGTGAATATTTTTTGTGTTTGGATTTTGGACCGCTGGTTTGGCAAAACCAGTCATTTGGAGATGTACCCTTTGGCTCTTGGATCTGGTGTTGAACAGACTCCATTATCTGATATTTTTAAGGCCAAATTATGAATCTGTTAGTTGAGATAATTGACCAATTAATGGATAATGACAATGAGCTTTAGTTGTAGCTCTGCTTTTTTGTGTTCTCTTAGGTTGTTATTTTTATTCCCTTTTAATGATTTCAAACTCCTACACCTGAATTACAGGATGTGTTGCTGTAGTGTCTTGTACATTGATGCACACTACTCAAACCATGAGGGTAAAAAATATTGTAGAGAACAAGGATCGAGGTGCAGGACATGTCTCCATCCACAACAGGTCTGGAGCTTTTACTTGTCAAGATAAAGTGGAAACTGACGTAAAAAACAAAAAAAACATTACCATCATCACCATAGGTGACTGATATTTTCCCCCTTCGGAATTTTATTGTCAGCTCATGTGAAAGATCATGAGTTGGAAACGAATGTCTGTTTTGGTATTTTGCAAATCGAAGCACTTTATGTGGCAGCGGTGGGCTCCTTCCATTGTTTTATGAGACATTTGAGGCTTGGTGTGAAATTGCAGCTCCCAAACAAGATATCAGCACCTCTTCCTCATTGTCCCTCTAACACCTGTTATAAGCCTCTGAGCCATCGCTAAAGTAGAGTTTTATTGCCACTTGGGCTACCCTGCCCTACATAAAGGGCCCTTATTAAACTCAAGAGGAGAAGTGTTTATCTTTTGACACTACATGATGTGTGTTAACACCACAATGATCAGCTCAGGCTCAATGACGCTGGAATATTTGCACCTAGGCGCCAGGTAGAGCAGGAAGGAAACTACTTTAAATCTCCTCAAAAGTTTTTCTCTTAAGGTTTGACCTCTGCCAGTTGACACTTTTCAGCCCTAAATCTACATACGAATGAATGTAAATGTGTCTCCTGAGAGTAAAATTTGTTTGTCTTTTGTGATTTAGTTTTTATTTTTTCACATCAAGTCTCTATGCTTGTTTTTTAACTTGTATTCGTGTCCGCTTCAGGTGTACCGTCAGGACTGCGAGACATTTGGCATGGTGGTAAAGATGCTGGTGGCTAAAGACCCTAACTTGGAGAAGCAGCTACAAGTTCCCCTAAGGGAGAACCTCGGGGAGATCCGCGAACGTTGCCTGGAGGACCTTAAACAGTTCATCAGCGAGCTGGACGAGGCGGTTCGACAGCCCGAACCTTCCGTCTGTGACTCAACCACCCCATCTGCAACACTGACGGCTCATAAACTTTCAAAGACAGGAGTGAATCACAGCTCTTCTTACTGACACATCTGACCTCTCTGTGAGACTGAGCACGGTAGGATTGACTGCCGATTAGACGGACATCTTGGATACATTTTGGATTGCTGGACTGAACCAATTCTACAGCACAGCAAGATGGATGGGATGCAGCGTTACATTATGTGTGGGAATGAACAGTGTTAGTTTTGAAGAAATCATTTATACCTTCAAGTTCTCTGTTGAAGATGTTAATTATAAAATATTATTAAAAGTTATCAAACCAGTCTCACATCACTGTGGGAACGTTTAACATGGGTTTCATTATTTAACCTGTTATGATGGAAATTGTTGTTGAGAATAGCCCTTCAGCATGATCACACGTTTCCAAAAGAGAAGCCAGGTAACACCATGTTTTGTTTTGTACTGTTTTCAGCTATGTCCATTTTTATTTTTGTAGCAGTCAGATGTATGACTTGGTGCTGCTAAATTTACAGTTCTACATTCTTGTATAAATTTGTACTGTTTAGAAATGCCAGTTTGGTTCCTTGCTTTTTTTTATTGTGTTTTCATTTTGCTTTTCAAACTTTATATCCTATGTCTCCCACTTCCCCAAAAACTCTGCACAACACTGAGACGAAGCTTTGCACAAACTGAGATGTCTCTGAAGGTTGTAGTAAAGATGATTTCTGTTAACTTTGTTTGTTTTATTGAACACACTACATAAATATCCCACCAGCAGCATAGACCTCATCTAAGATATTTTAATCAGTTTACTGGCAATATTACAAACCATGTTAGAGTTTCATTGCCTGTCTCTCTGAAACATACATATATTGGTGTTTTAATATGATGTAATTGCCTTACTTTAAAATCCAAGTGAATTAGTTCCAACTTCCAACAGGACTTGTATAAAAACAAACCTATACTGCGTGTTGCATATCATTAGACAATTTACAGGTTTTTAAGAGATTGTTGCACTACAGAATCCCATTAACTCTTAGATTGTGGTCGTGTTCAATGAGAGGCATCAGAGGGTTACAAAATGTCATTTGAAAATGAATATGTCAAAGATGTTTGAAAAAGAACAGTCATTCCTGAAGCTTTAAGAGGAGAAAAAATATTTATTACAAGCGTCTTTACATCACAAAGCATTTAGCTGGTTACGTCAGAGCAAGGGTAGTGAACAGTTCAGCTCAGTACGGAAAATGCAGCTGTTACTGCCATTCGTTTTATATTTTCTACATCGATAGTGAGCGGTGAGGAATATATGTTATAATAGACATTGTTACCGAGTAACATGGCACTTTACTGTGGAGAACAGTTTATGAAGTGGCACCTTCTTTGTTTCTCAAATATTAACGAGGTCTGTTTGTTTACCATTACAACTGCTATTCTTTTATATCATATACTTCCAAAGAAACAATTCTTTAAACCACAGATATAAAAATACCGGTATTAAAATCTTAACTTAATATATACATTATCATTTTGTACTATTATGTATTAAATAATTATTTGGTTTGTTTCTATTTTCTACTTTATCAACCTCTGTATACAATGTGTTGCCATTTGAATGCACACAAAGATATTGCTGCAAAACATTTAACTGAACACAAAACATTTTTAAAAACTTAATGGCAAATGCTGAAATGAAAGATTAAGTTTAATGTCACCACCCTGTCAACTCAGCAACAAGCAATATTTTGGTCTGCACTGTCTAAAGAAAGGCTTCCAAGTTCACCAGTCCATGCATCATATTAGTGCGAAAATTTAATGAAACCCAGTATCTAGGCCAAATTTGCACATACACAAAAACTGATTTTCTGACTATATATTACAAGATCCAGTCCGTCCTTTGCTTTCTTAGTAATTGGAATTGATTTCTTTCAGTAGATTTTGGCCTAAAATATGATATGCATCTTGTCATGTGCCTTCTGTTAGGATGGAATACAGTCTGTCCACATGGGTTGTTTTAAACTGCCTTTCTAAACCCAGATTTGATCCGCTAAATCCACATGATCAGAAAATCTGACATTATTGCTTAGTGTAGTGCAGATTAAGTTAAGAAATGATACAGTTTTTGGAGCGGTGGCTCTTCCTGCGACCAGTCTGTAAGCCGTGGCTCTGGGGAGAGAGGGCTGTAACCCTTGTTGGGTAGTCCTCGGCATAGTAGCGCCCAGCCGCTCGAGGCTGAGGGATCGGCTGGCCCAGGAAATAGCCCTCCTCCTCAGAGTCTGATGATGAAGAAGAGCAAGTAGAGCAAGAGTCATCCTCATCTCTGTAGAGACCCATGAAATGCTCAACGCGTGGGTCTCCTTGAGCTGAGCCCTGAGGCATATAGTCAGATCGGGTTTGCGAGTAGGCCAGTGGCAGCCTGTGTGCGGGATGCTGTAGGAGCATGGCACCACAAGGAGGGTTTCCCAGACCCTGCTGCTGGGGCTCATACAGCCTCTGTGCTTTCTCCAAAGGCAACATGTGGAGGTTGTTGTCTGACCGGGTTTTGCGGCTCCGGTGGTGCCTGCCTTGCCGGTGGTGGTGCTGCCTGCTGCGCCCATGGTGGCTCGTTGGACGGCTTCTTTCTCGGCCCATCTCATCTGGGCAGTACGCCCTCCGCTGTGGCTTCTCACTCATGGGATGCTTTCTAATATTCACATCAAAACCATCATTATATCCATTGTCCACAGTATCCTCTGAAAACTTGACCATCTGAGGAGGTCTGGACTGGGACTTGCTCCTCCTCAGTGCTGGGGCGTGGACAAAAGATGAAGGGAGGCCTTCTGAATGTGGGGACATTGGGGAGAGAAGTCCTCCTGGTGTGCCTCCCCTCATTGCAAATGCTACCTCCTCCTCATCTCCCTTCTCCATATTAAGGTTGAGAGAGTTGGCACTGTGGTGAAGATGAGATGAATTGAAGGTTCCCATGTTGCTCATCTTCTCACAGTCATCTGTCACCGAGGGATCCTGCATGGCAAGGCTGTAGACTATAGGTCTATCCCTGCCATCTCCATCCACTGATGCACCTAAAAAGAGCAAGCAGGGGACATATTGAACAGCTGTCTGATAAAACGAATAAAATAATACACATTTTTCCACTGAATACATGCAACTAATAGTCTCCTTACCAGTAATGTTTGATAATGCCAGAGAGTCCATGGAGTCTCCAGCACCCTGCTCAACTTTCCTCAGTTCATCGGCGATACACTCAAGGGAGTCTTCATACCACTGCCTGTTGTCTGGCCAGAAGGCTTGTCTTCCTGTGCCAGATTGGTCCTGATCCTGGTCCAGCTCCAGCTCTTGGATCTTTCTGGCACTGGCAGGACCTGGATGACTCCCATAGGCTGAGTCTCCCAACCCATCCTGGGACTGGGCCCAGTACATTTCAGGCAGGTGCTTCTTGCTCATCAGTCCAGGGCTAAGGCTGTTGGCTCGTGATTGATTCGAAGTCTGGCTCTGGGTGGGACTGGCAGGGGTTGGAGAGGAGGCAGTAACCCCCATAGATATGGTATCAGGCTTTAGCCAGGGGTCAGAGACAGCTATTAACCTGTTTCTGTCACTGCTAGGGCTGGGAGATTTTAGGGATGGTTGCTGAAGTTGGTGTAACATCCCACGGTCACCAAACTTGAGCAGGAGCTGAGTCATATAGTCTTCATGCTGTGCCCACTCCTCTGGATCCTCCTCTCCACCGACATCCTGCTCCTCCCGCTCCCTCCAGAACCTCTCCTCTTCCAGGCCTAGACGAGCCAGCTTGCGCCCTACGATACCAATGTCGCAATCAGCATCTCCATCACCCTCTCCATCTCTGAACTTATACTCAAAGGAGGGGACAGCGGCAGGGGGGTTAAATAGCTGTGACTGTCTCCACTGTTCGGCAGGCCTGCTGCTCTTCCCCATGCGGACACTGCGCCGTGACTCACGTGAGCGGGCAGACTGGAAGGCGGAATCAGATGAGTCGGAGGCATGAACATCTTCCCCCTGGCTGCAGGCCTTTGAGCAATAAATGCGACCCTGCTTTGGCAGGAAGGGACAGCCCAGCAAGGATGTCTTGCACTGGGCACAACAGAAGCACTGGTCTGTGGCGTGCCAGTGTACACCTTCATAGGTCATCTGGGCATGGTCAACACCTAAAGGGATGAAGCAAAAAGGAACATAGCATTAAGTATAATACTTCAACACAAGTAGTCAAAGAAATAGATGGGTAAAGTAAAGATCTTTCTAGGACCTCACAAGTATATCTTACCAATGTTTTCACCACAGGCCTCGCAGTACTCTGCATACAGTGACTCAAAGCAGCCGCAACAGTAGGGCCGGCCATCTTTCATGATGTAGCGCTGCCCCCCTAGCATCGTCTCGCACTCGAAACAGGCAAAGTGCTTCATGTGCCAGTGACGACCTTCTGCTTCAGTGCACTCATCTGAAAATATGATCTAAAGAGAAACATAAATACCACTGTTAGTTCTGTTGAACTCTATGGTTCATTGTACACTAAGGGTACTGGGTAGTGCTACTATTACTGTGTCTTACCTCGTCACAAGAAGAGCATCGCGGTTTGAGAAGCTCAGCGTGGTGTCTTCCGCAGAGGATCTTGCCATTTTGGTAGAAATAGATCAGATCCACCAGCAGCTCTTGACACGTGGCACACACAAAGCATGCTGGGTGCCAGCAGGGGCTCGGCCCTGCTCTGGAGGCAAAAATGGCCATCTCTCCTCCATTGATGCCTTCGCCACACTGACAATCAAACACAAACAACAGATGATCCATGAGATTTGTATTTCAACCATCTTGTTGATGCAATTCGTCAAAGTGACCCACAATGCATAGGGGTCCACGTGGACAAAATGTGTTCATCATTGAGCCTATGACCTATTTTGACCTAAGTATGCTATTTTCAGAATGAAACCGTGGAGATAAACAGACACAATCGCATAAGGGAACGACATTTCATGCATTGACTGTGACACGAGGAATGCAACACAAACAGAAGAGAGATTATGGAAGATAACTTTTCAAAATATATCACGTCTGCTGGTGTTTCATTTGCAGGGATGCTAAAACAAAGAAGGCCAAACAACAGGTGATCATACTGTAAATGCCAAAGGAATATGATCCATATGACAGTCACAGCAGAAATACAGCAACAGTTGATAACATGGATAGTGTCATTTAATCTTTTCCTTAGCAACATAAACACAGATTGGTATTAAAAGATGACTGACTCAACCGATGTCTTCCTGAGTAGAACTGTTTTGTATTAATATGGGGTGTGATGCAAAATAACTTAAAAGTGAAGCAAAAACGATAAAAAATCTAACCTTCGAGCAAAACTACTTTACCAACAAAGACTGTTGGACAAATTCTAACTCAATTTGGTGGCTGTTTCATTTTGGCCATCAATTATTCATTGGGTGTTGCTGAGGAACTGGACAGCATTTTTTCCTCCTGTAAGCTTAAACAGAATACACAGGCCTTGGTCCTGAGTCGAAAGATCGTATGACTCCACAGAGATCACCAGAGCATGTCTGAACATGCAATCATAAGTCTTTATATAAACCAGCAGAGCTATGAGAGACCCATAGGCAGCTATGAGATAGCAATGCCAGCTGTTAACCATTATTACCAGGCAGGACAGACAGGGGCCTTGGATATGGCAGTGCTGTGTGTCCCTGGGAGTGCGGCACCAGGAAACTGGAGCCGGACAAAGTGTGTGTGAATGATTTATCCTTTTGAGCATGTGCAGTATGTGTACGAACGGTTCCATGACTGTATGAATGTGCACATGAGTGTAGGTGTGCCTGTATGGATGAGTGAGTGGGTGGTTATAGAGTAACTGTGCGTGGCATTGCGGAGCATATGCGAATGTCCAGTATGTCTAGAGGTGCATGTGTCCATTGCTGTTCCTATGTCATTTCAGTGTGTGCGACCTTGTATCTCTGTGGTAGCATCTGCGTTTGAGTAGCAACAGACTTCATCTGCTAGTCCGGGGGGAATTAACATGGCTGGCCTGCTGTTCCTGGATGTCTAGCAGAGGATGTGGTTTACTCACTTGTCAGGGCTCAATTTGCCGGAAGCCACACCACGCTAATATTTATGTTTGTTGCATTGAAAGGGATTTTTTCAGAAATATGATCATTGGCACTGGATGTTATGTTTTAACCACCATTGCCAAATCAAAAGTAGGAAAGAGGTCATGTTTTAGGATTGTTTCCAGTGTGTTTATTCAAAGCTCACTTTGACTTCAACCAGAATGTCAAAATGGAATTTAAGTTCCGCTCTTTTAGCAAGCTGAGAAAAAAATCCTCTTGCTTGAAAAAATGCTAAAAAATTTTTTTTGAAAAACATATTTTTTCCACACAGGATTATAAAGGCTAATTATGCTTACATAATACTGTTTATGTGTTTAATAGCCTAAACACGGAATATAATCCAATGAGAATTCCTGTTTTACCATTGGATTCCAATCTACAACTAGTCCTTTCCAGAAAAAGTCTTCAAACCAGCTGCATGTACTGAGCTGAGCTGTGTGCAATTATACCAGTAGATGTGGAATTATCTGCCACATACTGTGTATTCTTTGGAAAAAAGTTGGATTTTAAGACTCTGGGCAAGAATTACTTGTTAACCTGTACTTTTTTTTGCAGGCTGTCATGCTGAGATATAGATGGGCGGCAGGAAATTTGCCAAATTCCTCCTGAGGAACTGGCTTCTCCGCTCGGCTTGAGCACGAGCCTCCCAATTTCCCCGCTTCCCCTCTAGCCCTAATGAGGAAGTTTATGTCCGTGATTAAAACCATCGCATTAGCCAATCAGGATTGTGCCTTGGGCTGCTATGCGTTGGGATGGGATAGTGGGTGTGAGCTGCTTGAGATATAAATAACTAAAAAATATGTAGGAATAGTACATAGGAATAAAATAATAATAAAATGGTCTACATGTGTGCATATATGCGTGTGTGTGTGTGTGTGTGTGTGTGTGTGTGCTCATGGGTAACCACGTGGGGCACCTACATTTTCACAGCGGGTGTGTTGCAGAGCTCGGGGCAGGATCTTGGGTGTTCCTCTCCCCAGTGCCTCTCTCTTCCTCTGGGCGCTGAACATGTGGAGCTCCCTCTTCTCCTCCTCAGTCAGAGAATGGCAATAACGCACCTGGTAAAAAAAGGAGAGAGGGGTGAGTGGAGCTGAGAAACTAATAGAAAGAAGAGGAAGAGGGAGGCCGGTTAGAAGGAGAAAGCACTTAATAACATCCACCAATTACTGCTGATGGGGTTATCTTTCATCTTTGCTTTCAACTTTCGGGGAGGAGTATCACACGCAATCCATATATGGCTGGATAAGGGGTTTAATTAAAGCTAATTCCCTCTGAAGGTCGCGTTGAAAGGCTGGCGTGAGCGATACACAAATCCTTCCTCTGTGTTTAGAGATGATGATGAAGGCCCAGATAAAAGACCAAGACTATCCTAACAACCAGCTCGGCTGTTCTCTAAACAACAGTAAACGATGTCGGCGTGTGAGCTCACACACACGCACAAACCCGCTGTCTCCGTCTCTCCCTTTCACACACACGACACACACAGAGTGCTTATACCTCCGAACCACAGTTACGCAAGGAATCCACCGGCAGTTTTCTTCCTCAACCACCAGGTCTGCCGACATACATCATAAAAACCGCTCAGTCAAACACTGTGCGGTTGTGTGTGTGTGTGTGTTGTTTGTGTGATTCCTATTGCTGTTTCTTCCATTTGTGTGTATACAGAGACCACCTCTCTGTCAGACAGTACCCCCCCCCCCCCCGGTGATAACCCCTCTGCCATATCTCCTAATGTAAACTCTATTAACACAGATGTGAAAGGAGTGCTGGTTTACACACCATAAAGCTGTTATACGGAAGAGGCTGGCATGTGCTTTACTGTCACAAGAGGGTTTTTCTGTCAAACAGTTGAGGGAATGTGGCCATTGTTTTAGTTTTACTAGAAAGGGCTAGCAAGGTTGTTTAAGCTTTACTCAGCTGCTGGCTTTAGTTTAATTAGGGCTGGGTATAGTGTAAAATGTCTTATTGCCAATATGATACCAAAACACTTTTTTTGGTTAATCTTGCTTGAAGACATGTTTTCCGTTTAACAAAAAAATGTTGTTTAAATATAATAATAATACAATATGTGTTATGTTAGTGTATGATGTTCTATTATCGCTGCAGTTGATTCACTTAAATGGGTTATATATATCTCTCTCTGATACATTAATCCGATTTGTACCAGGACCACAGTACCACAAGTACCACAAGTACCAGGAGATTACCAGAATGGCCCCATAGTTTGGTTAGAGAAAAATGGCTTAATTCACGTGAGTTTTTGAATGTTCAACAGCTAAAAAAAGCTGCTTCACTTTGTTGTTTAATGCCCTATTAATGGTCATGTGAATATTATAATAAGCAATATTGTTCATGTAAGCTGAAGCTTATTCTACTGTTGTATTTATCGTATTCTTAACTTCCTGTTGCATCTGGAAAAAAGCAGCAACGCCTGCTTCACTCTCTGCCACACATCCTTTCTCCCATTCTCTCTTCTTCTCTCTTTCTTCCTTTTCTTCTTCCTGCTTCCTTCTCTCTGTCTCCTGTCTTTCTCTCTGCTCTCTGCGTTCTTTTTTCTTTCTTCTCTTCTCTTTCTCCTTCTTCTCTCTTCTCTTCCTCTCTTCTTCTGTTCTCTTCTTTCCACCACAATGACACCTCTTTCAGTGTCTCTCGCTCATCATCTCTACCTCGTTGTCATGCGGTGGCAGCTGGTAGAGGAGCTGCCGGATCCTCTGCTTCTCTCCGGGGCTGTTGACGTACGGCACCTTATCCTCCGGTAGACAGGAGAAATACATCTGGACCTGCGGATGAGGACAGATAAAATTAACTTTCGGAAGAGATAAGGAAATTACATCTAGTAGGAAATAGGATGGACTGGCAAACTCTCATGATGTAACATTTCAAAATTGAATTTAAAAGACTCCATATTGAGACCACATAAATAAATGAGACATGTCGCACCCAGAAGGCCAGCAGTGTTAAGTATAGTATAAGTATATAATTATAGTTGAGGGGAAGGGAGAGGCGGTTTCTTGTTTTTGCAGGCAGAGGAGGGGGCAGCTGAATATCAGTGGAGAATATCTGCTACTTTGTGTCCTTATTTTGTGACTCTGTGAGGTAAACATGTCAATCTCAATCCAGTCACAGGCCTGAGTGTGAAATCTATCCACATATAAGAGACAGCAAAGGGCTGGAAATGTTAATATTTGCCTAGGATAATTCCCGCTGACATGGGTAAAGGAAACATTGACAACTATTTGTTTGTGTGTGAATATAGACCTCATTTTAAATAAGCACTAATAAATGTGAAAAAATCCATAGCCAGATGTTCATGGCGCCAGCATCCGGGCCTACTAATCCGCTAGAATTTTTGCACACATAACCTCATTTGAAATAAAACCCCTGCTGATATTTTGTGGTATTTTCTGCTGAGATTTCCATTTTTGGAATATACTAGAGGTTAGCTATAAGACAACGAGAGGGTGTGGAAATAGTGTGGGAAGCCGAGGCCCTACCTGCTCAGGCCTGACTCCCGGTGGCACCCATGCATACTCCTCCAACGCACACCCAGAGTCATCATCTGAGGTGGAGCTCCTCTGGAAGCCCACGGATATCTTTCCCATCTTCCCCCCAGCGCGAGGCTCCATCTCCAGGCCTCGAGGAGAAGGGCGCTCCCCTCTTTCACTGCGCTCCAGGTTCATCACAGAAGAGCGCTGTGGATAAAAAGTCAGGATTTAGGAATCACGTTTACAGAACTTTGCTTTTTCTTTTTCCAACCCCTCATCTGTTTGCTTGATTTTTCTTTTAAATTCTACCCAAAGCCTTAGCTTTTACCCTTTTCACTTCTTGTCACTGATTGGCTGGGATAATGCTGATGTAGGATCTTTTTTAGCACTTATTGTAAATTCCTCTGCATTTTGTATACGCCTGTCATCCCATCAATTAGTTTTAATCTCTATGTTTCACAATAAGATAATTGCTTTTTCCCAGCAGCGTTTTCAGAGTTCAACATAAAAGCTAGAACAAATATTGAGAAGAGCAGAGAAGACTGTTCCTTTTGAAAAACAGAGAAGAATATCACATATCACACAAACATTCCATAATTTCACAATCTCTTGAGTCACACTCAAGAATAACTAATGTGTTATTTTATTCCATCCCATTAGTGCAGTATGTCATCCTAACTTTTGTTTATCCATTACCGGAGTATGCTTGATAAAATACCCCAAATGCTACTTGACCACCTTCAAAGGGAACTTAAGACAAACTTAGGATGATGTTTAATGGAAAATCAAAGGAGGCTTTTTCCAGTAAGGCGCACTCATTCAACAACCATACATGACTCTTGTAAGCCTGACTGTACTTATCTCACATTGCATGAAAGACACACGGAGATAAAACAGCAGCATTATTAGGCACAGAAGGTTTAAAGGTCTGTATTTCCATTTAAATCTTATCATCTACATCTGGGAACACATCTGAGCATTTACAGTACTTACAAGTGTAAGATCTTGTTAGGGCATTTTACTGCATCGGTAAATGAAGGTATGCACACTGGGTACATTTAGACAGTTCTTATAAAAGTTGGATTGTGCTGCTTGGACGTAACATGAGGCAGCAGAAATTTTCCAGCTGTTAACCACCAAACATCTGTTGCCCTTATCCACTGTGCTACAAAGTACTGAAGGTTGAGAAACACATGTAAGCAGCCTACCAGGTTGTGCTGAGACAGTGTCAATATTACATAAATGGATGATTAAAAAATTGGCGACAAAACTGAATATTCCGAAAGACAAATGATCAACCTTCAAAACAAGAGGTCCACGTGCAGCATGAGTCCACTATCAGCAGCATTTCAAACAACCCTTTACGAGCTGATAAGAGTTGGACTGTTAACATGAATAGGGATTCATCAGTCTCATCGTCGTGTCTCTCCCACCGTCAGCAGTAGCCTTTCTTATCTCAGCAGCCATGTTCTTCAGAGCCCTTTCAGACTGATAACTGCACTTTGGTCTCAAGGTGTTGAAAAAGCCACTGCCCTGCCTTTGGCTCTTTGACATGCAAATCTCTACTAGAAAAGAACTTGTTTGGGTACAAACAGTCAGAAACTTCACACTGGTCCTCCAAACTTTATGTTGGTCTGCTCTTTTACACAAAAGCAGCACAATGAGGGACATTAGGGTCTTGGTGGTTTCTATTTAACATTTTTGCCCGCTAACTGTGACTGTAAGAGTCAGTTAAAATCATTTTGACCAATGACTGTCCCTGGTCATAATCAGGCACTTAGGGACTGTATGAAAATTGAGGCGTTAAGGTTGGCTGAACTTTATGTTTAACTAAGAAGCGAGACCCTCCCCGGGGTTATCCATATTTGTTTTCATTTCTCAACTCAACCCTGGTTTCATGCTCAGAATGTTAGTGGAGCAATAATTTTTAAAGAGCCCAAATTGCACATTATTAGTAGAATTAGCATCCGTCATAATTGTGGTAAGCATAACAAACGGTGTGCCCGGTTTACAGATCATTGCTGCTTCTCAACTTTTGAACGAAAACTACAACTATATGAACAGTAATTACCACCATCAACAAATAAGCAATAGGCACACACATAAGTTTTATAAGACCTGCTTTTTAGCAAAAAGAAAACAATGCGTAACCCTTTCCCTTTTCCGACCCCACCTCCCTCCTAAAAAGTGTGTACTGTCCCTTATCAGATAACAATGTGTAAATGGAAAATTGAAATCCATGTTACACGTGTGTTTATTTGGCACTTAAACGCCTCTTTACGACATATATTGGTGTCATGGTTAGCTGCACTTTGTGCTCGCCATTCCTTTTTTTTCTCCTTTTTAAATATTTGCCATAATGTATTGATTCCCTAACAGACTTTCTTGCTCATGGCCCCTCCTAAGGTCATAGGTCGGCTGCAGCTAAACTCACAAACCAAACGCTGTAGTTCTGCAGCCACGTCCTCATAGAAATGTCAATTCTGTCTCGTCAGTTCACCCTGAAGACCTCCCACACTGCAGCGTGTAGTCAAACCCCAGAAACAAGACTGGGGAAATATTAGCATTCACCCCCAAATTAGCATACAGTTGAAAATAGCCCAGGGCCTCAAAACACTGAATTCACAGATTAGAAATGCTGTTAAAAGTCAAACCAAAGCTCTTATCACAGAACAAAGGGGTATTTGACTGTTGCTTTGTTCTTCAGTGACTAATCTATCAGGTTTTATGGTAGGATAGATAATGTTATCACCCAGAAGCCTTTCTTTACCTGTTCTGTTTTATCTCACCTAACCTAGTTAAGACCAGTAAGTGGTGAATTAGATGAAGTCAGTTTTTTTCCCAGAGAGTATTTTTCAACTACTATCTCCATGGCACTAAGATATATGTGTGCTGCTTGGGAGTTCAGGAATAAGGGGCCACATTATTGTTCACATTAGAATGATATTGCATGGTCATTGTCCCATTTAATATGTTTTAACAGGAATGAGATAGAAACCAAGGTGAGGGTGATTTATTTCCAACCACTTGGTTTGTCTGACCAGTTCAAAATCACAAAGATATTCAGATTTCTATCATATAAGACAAAATAAAACAGCAAATCCTCCATGTTGTGGAGCTAAAACCAGGGAATGTTTAAAAAGATCCAATCAACTTTTAAATTAATGAATCCACTGATCATTCTAGCTCTAGTTTGCTATCCTTTCGTTCACCATTTGAAGTTAGTGGGGAAAGGTGACTGCAGATTCCTGAGCCAACATACACAGCAACTCACATTACACCATGTCACCCATTGGCAATAACACAATGGCTGTCTTTGTCAAAAACAAAAACAAAATGTCTAGCCACTCCTCTTTTAAACCCGGGAGATGTGACAGGAGGAGGTTAAGGGGGTTAAAAAGTGAGACTTTTTGAAAAAGGCATTTAAAGAGTCACAACATCGGGTCTGTGTAAACATGGGCCAGATGTAGCCGGCTAACGGTTAATCACATGCGCCTCCCCCGCTTAACTGACACTTTTAAAAGGGCTCCCCTTCACAGAGGAATTAGTTAGTCAAACATGTGTTCTTTTCAAATGAACACAACCCCGGGCCAAGTAAAGGAATACATCCTAATTTACCGAGAAGTTTGACTTTTATAGATTGTGCCAAAGTGTATCATGTTCTCTCAGTGATTAAGATATCAAACTGGTAAAATAGTTACAGCTTTAGTTACCTGCAGTTAATTCAAAGAACACACTTGGAGAAGTTGAGCACTTGCTGAAACCAAAACAGTAATTAAAAAAAAGAATATTTCTCCTAGAGATCATGGGATTGCTTTAGGAAAACCATTAAATTGTGGAGTTCAAAGGCCGAGGTCATCGCTCTTTGACTGGTGAAGAGTGTTATTTTAAGGCCAAATGGGTGTCAGGGGGTGCACAGGAGACTTAACACAGCTGGAGTGAGACCACCTATAAACACAGCCACAAGATGCAAGACCTCATACTATACATACACTCATACTATAACACAAATAGAGTAATAGATATGCATGCAGGATCTCTGACACACAGCACTTTAATCTTGAGCCAAGCTTAGCCGTTCATTCTCCGCAGCTCTTTTTCAACACTTCAGGCGTTGCTTCAAACCGAGGCAATCTCCCACAATCCACTGCATGCCTCCCCATCAACAGATCTAAGTAACGGCAAAACTTGGGTGCAAGCATTTATCCAAAGTAGAGCTAGAGCCAAAGTGCTCTACATTCAACAAAATCCTTCTGCATTTGCAAGTTTCATACAGTGTACTATTTTCCTCTTACCTCCAGGAAAAGCATCTCTCTTTCCACCTTCACATAAAGCTTTCATTCACTTCCACAATCCCCTGGTCGCACGGCGCTCAAGCTCTGGCTACATGTCTGCAGCATCAAGCTCAATGGATCCACGCTCTAATCAGATCCAGATCCCACTCAGCCAGGAAGTATTCCCCGACGTCTCAAGCTTTTTGAAAGTCAACGTCAGCTGTGAGGGAAGTCTGAAAAAGGCGCAACTCACTCCGCAGCCGGGGAGCCACTCATTTGGCAATGCAAAATTTTGGAGGTCCAAAGAGCAAGTAAGGGAGGGCAGAGAGGTGACGTCTCTATCTGGAGTGTCTCTGATCCCTCTGAGTGTGTGTGAATGAGTGGATGTGTGTGTGTGTGCTCCTGGGGCAGCCAAGCCTTGTCAGCCCCTCCCCTCATTCTTCCCCTCCAGAGCAAATCGCCTGCCACTGCACTTCAATCACACACACACACACA